ACTGAGCCTCGCTGTCATGAAGGCAATAGCGCGTGGAATGTGGGAGCTCTGCACAGTATTTTTAGAGTGGAGAATGACACTGAGGTGGTAAGGAAAGTATCAGTGTATCAGTTTCTCTTGCTCTTTAATGAACCAATCCAACACTTAGTGATTCAAGACAATACTGTGTTGTGCTCATGTGGAGTGGGGCACAGCAGGGCTGGCTGAGTCCCATGCTGCCTTGCATCACAGCTGAGACCTGGGATGCCTTGGCTGTGGCTTCATTCACCTGTTCTGGGGCCTCATGGGGCTGTCTTTCTGGAGCACTTAACCCCCATATTGCCTAGGCCCTTCCCTGTGATCAGCGGGTAGTCGGATTCCATCCCTGATGGTTCAGGACTCCAAAGGGGGCTGTTCTTTGAGATAAGTTGGAAGCTACATTGCATTTATGACCTAGCCTTAGAGGCTATGCAGCATCACCTCTGAAATATTGTGGGAAGAAGCCCGGCAGGATTCAAGGGGAGGAAACCAGGTAACCTTTGGGTGGGGACTAAGTGGTAAGGCTACGTTGTAGAAGTGAAGCCAGCCTGATATCCTTTGCAGCCATCTTGGTAAATACATTCTGTCATCCTCGACAGAAGGCAGAATGAGGGGCTTGGGTGGAACTCTAATGTCCTTACCTTAAGTCTCTTGTCACTTTCTACCGTACGTTTTATGCATATTTATTTAATTACATTTTGCTTTTAGATTAACCCCCTAAACTACTAAGGTATTATAGTATTTAGATTCTGAGTAATTCTAGCTTCCTGTCATATCAGGGCAAGAGTAATTTTATTTATTTACTTATTTTTACTGCAGGTTCACCCCTATGTGTCCTGTGTTTCTTCAGGTATCTCAGTATTCCATTGTTCATTTTCCACTTACCTTTTTTTCCATTCTGGAGCATACATCTTTCTTCTTCTGTGTCGTCGTTTATGGTGCTCCTATTTCCTGGGCTGTTCTCTCTTCCCTTCTACTTGGTACTAATTTTCAAAACCAACATTAAGACATACCTACTCCAGCAGCCCTTATCACCTTGGATTGTCTTCCTTTTGGACTTCCCTTCTCTTCCTTGTGTGTTTCATTAGTGTTGGTTTCCACAGAAGGGGTTCTGGGTTTTTGCAGTCTCCTTGTAGTCCTGGTTGTTGATTGACTGGTGGTGACAGCAGGGGTAGGGGAGTGAGCATTTATTGAGTGCTGACTGTGGTCCAGGCTTTACAAAAAATGTATTAACTCATCTAACCCTCATGAAAGTTTGATGAGGCAGATTCTGTTCTGATCTTTATTGTACAGATAAGGAAGCTGAGGTACTCAGGTTAAGTTTCCTACCTGAGGCAGCAGAACAGGCGTGTGAGCCAGTCTGGCCCTAGAACACACTCTCTCCCCTTCACCGAACTGCCTGTTGTGCTCAAGAGGAACTGTGGATATAAGGAATTGTGTGTGGTGCTTCTAATCTTGTTTGTTAGAATTTAGAATGTGCATTGACCTTGTTACATAGCATTGGCAATTCTTTTTTTTTTTTCAAGTGAAAAAAGAGAAAACTTTTTTTTTATTAGTTGCTCAAGACAATACAGTGATCTTGACATATCATACATTTGATTCAAATAGGGTATGAATTCTCATTTTTCCACATGTACAGATTGCAGGATCACATTGGTTATACATCCATGTGTACACATACAGCAATCCTAGGGTCAGTTGTATTCTGCCACAACTGGCAGTTCTTTACACTATTTTTAACACATTAATCCCTTGTTAAATCTTATTACAAGGTTATTAAATATCATTCAGTTTTACAGAGCTGATAAATCTTAGAATCTTCTAACAAATCACTGATACAGCTGCTATTAAAAGTTAATTGCCCCAAAGTCACAATTCTAGAGTAAAGGAGGATGCTTCCTACCATGCTTCAGAATTACCAGGTCATCTCTCAGGTGTGGGTTTATGTTCCAAAGTTCTTTTGAAATCAGCTTTCTGGAACTTCATTTACGTGTAAGAATACATTATATTAAACTTGGTGATTAGGTTCTTAGGCTCAAACAGAGTAATTTCCAAATGCAATGGTATTTGAATATTGGAACTAAGAAATTAAATAATATTCGTTCACCACTGTTCACTTGCTACATGTGGAACACTGAATAGTGACACTTTTTTGTTTAAAATTATGAGTTCTTATGTGGGCATCAGGAACACAGCACCTTTGTAGCAGTTGGTACATACTTTTGGAGCCTGAGAAGTTCAAGATCAAGGTGTCAGTAGAGCTGGTTCCATTCTGAGGCCTCTCTCCTCACCTGTCAGATTGCCACTTTCCTCAGATGTTTTCCTGTCGTCTTCTATCAAGTGTGTCTGTGTCCTAATCTCTTCTCATGAAGACACCAGTCATGGGCCCATATAACCTTCATAGCCCTTTAATGGCCCCTTTGTCAAATACAGTGATGTTCTGAAGAACTAAGGTTAGAACTTCAACTTATGAATTTGAGGGAGACAGAATTCAGCCCTTAATATCCATGTTGTGATTATACCACAATTTCTTCATTATGTTATTTGCTCAATGCTGTGATTGTTTTCCATTATAGATTATTATGAACGATCTAATATGAACTTTCTTTTACATGTATAGAAACGCCTGAGTTTCTTCAGGCCAGGATGGAGGGTTATGGCTTAGTAGTAAATTGCTAGGTCATATTGCCAACTGCAGCTTTAGTGGATAAATCCAATATGTTTTCCAATGTGGTGGTTCCACTTTACACTCTTACCAGGAGTATAGGAGAGTTCCTGTTTTTTCATATTTTTACAACACCTGATAAATTGCCATGCTTTTAAATTTTACCAGTCAGTTGGAGAGCAGTGTTATCTCATTGTGTTTTAAGTTGCATTACCTTAATTATTTAACAATTTGGCCATCTCTCTCTTTATATAATATGTCTGCTTGGATTTTGTGAGATATCTATTCAGATCTTCTACCTATATTTCTATTGGGTAGTGTGACTCTTATTGATTTGTAGAAGTTTTTTAAAACACTCTGGATATAAGTCCCTTGTTACTTATATATGTCATAAATACACTCTAGGCTGTCTGTCTTCACTATATTTAATACTGTCTTTTGAGGAATAGAAGTAATTTAAATGTGGCCAGTTTATTAGTCTTTTCCTTTCTATTCTGTTTTTGAATGTGTATCTTGAAAACATTAAGAATATTAAGATATTTTTCTAGAATTATCTTCTAAAATTCTGATCATTTCCTGTTGTATATTTAGAAGTAATGTATCAGCACTAATTTTTGTGTACAGTATGAGGTATAATACAATCTTCATTTTTTCCTATAGATAGTTGTTGTAGTGTTGTTAATTGAAAAGCCACTCCTAACCACTGCTGCCTGAACAACCTCTGTCCACAGTATGAGCTCTGATCTGCTTCTAGTCTTCCAATTCTATATCATTGATTATTTTGTCTATCTCTGAAGAATGTTATACGGGGCTGAGGTTGTGGCTTAGTGGTAGAGTGCTCACCTAGCATGCATGAGGCACTGGGTTTGAGCCTCAGCACCACATAAAAATAAAGATACTGTGTCCATCTAAAACTGAAATTTTTTTTTATAAAGAATGTTACACTGATTTGAATCCTGTTGCTTTGCAGTACATCTTATAAATTGATAGAGCAATTCTTCCTATCTTGCTATTTCTCTTCTGACAGTTGTTGGTTCTTTCCAGTTCCATAAACATTTTAGCATTTGCCTGTTTGGTTCCACAAACAGACCTTTCAGGATCTTTATTGGAATGCTTTGATTCCGTAAGATCAGTTGAAGAATTGTCAATGTCATGAAAGACAAAATAAACAAAAAATAAACATGGGGGAACTGTTTACATGAAAGAGGACTAATGAGACATGGTAACACAATATATGATAGTTTGTGAATATTACAAAAGCCTGGGGCAAATGGTAATATTTTACTTTGAATTGTGTTTTGGATGTTAGTAATATACCAGTGTTAAATTTCCTAATGAGGGTGATAATTATATGTATACCTTTGTTCTTTGGAGATACATGCTAAAGAATTTAAGGTGAAGTATAATCATACTATAGTTAGTTCTTAGTTCAAAAGGGTTGGGGAGAGGTGGGCAGTTAATGTTAACAATGGCAAATCCTGATGAAAGGTAGTAGTTTAGAATCTTTTCAAAATAAAAGTTCAAGAAAATTAAATTTTATTTATTATCTTAGGAAATAACATAGAGCCATATAAGTTCATTATGAATAATACTGTATTAAGCAAATGTGCCACTAAAAGCCATAGTGATATAGCAAACATGATTGGTTATTTAAAAAGTCATCTAGGTGTTGGGGAGTTATCATCTGCTCGGCAAGCACAGGTTCCTGTTTTCGACCTTCGGCACTGAAAAAAAGTTTTTGTTTGAGTTGACTCAATACACATTTAAGTTGCACAGGAATATCAAATGTCTCTGGGCTGTCTCATCATGTAAAAAAATGTAATAGTGAGCTTTTCATGAAAATTGCTTATTTCTAGTGTTTTTTTTTTTTTTTTTTTTTAATAAAACTACTGATGAAAGTTCTGGAATTTTTTTCCTGTATCATACTAAAAGGTGAACAGAATAATTTATAGGATTTATACTGCATACAGTCTAGTTTTGTAGATGTAGACCAAATATATTTTATTGGAAGCATTGCTAGTGCTGAAATACATTGATGTTTATGTTGTCATAGAAGATCTCAGATCCTTTGTTCTCATAACAGGTATCCTCACAGTTGATAAAGAAAATGGAGTTATGTTTCAGTTTTTAGTTATTGCAGCAAATGTGCACAGGTGACTGATTGCCTGAGTTATACAGTGAATTGGTGACACTGGTGGGCTCACAGTTCTTGACTCTGCTTTGCTTTTGTTTTTTCTTTTTCTAAACTAATATTTAACTTGTTGGGAAAATGATTTGTAAATTAAAACATCTCTAACAACTAAAAATGTTTTTCCAGCCAAAGGAAGAGCTGAGCTTCTGAAGATCAATCTTCGTGAAGTTGAGTTAGATCCTGATATTCAACTGGAAGATATAGCAGAGAAGATTGAGGGCTATTCTGGTGCTGATATAACTAATGTTTGCAGGTATTTTTTTTTTTTTAATGATCTGTTATCCTAGACATTAGTTACAGATTTTTCGGGAGAACTTGTCTTAAAGTCAGTGTAGTTAGCCATTAACTTAAAAGCAATTACCCATTTCTTTGAAGATTTTTCTTATTTGTGGGAAAAAAATTCTGTATAGCTTTATTGGTTATTGTTAGGTTAATGATTACATAACAATGTGGTCACTTATGGTTTTGGTCCTTTGATTTTTTTTTTAATTGTATAATCAACTTGATAATAATGACTTCAACGATCCACAGTCAATTTAGCTCTATGTTGGAGCCTAGCCCAATTAGTATAATGTAATATCATTTAGTTATGGTTGATATTATTAGGCCACATGTGGTGAACAAAAAAGTTGATCAATTTAAGCTATAGAACAAATATTAACCCATTTTTAAAATTTTTCTTTCAGTTTAGCAGCAAAATAATTTTTAGACAATTCACATCACTCAATTTTTTATTTCAGCTCTTATTTAACTGTACTTACACTGACTTCAAAGTAGCTTAAGTCTGAACATCTGTGTTTTTTTTTTTTTTCTGCTAGTGTTTTTCCTGTGTGCATCTAAGTTTAGTGACATACAGTAAGCTCACAATAGTTTTTTATTGTCAGTGTAGTAATGTTTGAAGTTTTGATTGGCTTGGCCTTCCTCTTAGGTGACTGTGAATTATCTGTTTCTTCCAAACTTTGTATTTCTTTGTAATTGGTCAAATAGAACTGCAAATAAGATTAGGAGATGCCAGAGTTGATACTGTTAGTTGCCCACAAATACTCCCTTGTAGAAAATTGTATCCACTCAATGTATATATTCATATTGTTATATATTCATATTCCAGAAAGAGGGGTTTCTCATTTTACCCCTTCTAACTAGGCTATAGACAAACTAGTATATATATGGCTTAAATTAATATTGTCCATATGTTCATTTCCAAGTGTGCAATTCAGTATTTCAAAATTTGGCTCCAGTTTCCTAAACTTCTTGGCTATTTTTGAAGTGTAGAATTCAATATTATCTGAGCTCAGCCTAGACTTCTGTGATTCATTAACTATACATTTTATGCTTTAAGACTTTTGTATGCTCTTTTAATCTCTTCTGAAACCTCAGGATGTCTCTGAAGCAGAAAGTTCTAAGTAGCATCATAAAAACATATAAAATAATCTTTTAAATGTTTTCCCACAACTTTGTAACAATTTGAAGTGTCCAAAACACAAAAATTACTGCTGACCGATTTTGGTATGTTTTTAGGGATGCTTCTTTAATGGCCATGAGGCGGCGTATCAATGGCTTAAGTCCAGAGGAGATCCGTGCACTTTCTAAGGAGGAACTTCAGATGCCTGTTACCAAAGGAGACTTTGAGTTGGCTCTTAAGAAAATTGCTAAGTCTGTCTCTGCTGCAGATTTGGAGAAGTATGAGAAATGGATGGTTGAATTTGGATCTGCTTGAGTTTTTGTCAGCTCTTTCATTTTCAGTGTATTTATTTATAAAATGTGAAGAAATTCCTGCAGTTTTTCAAGACAGGTTTGGAATTTTTCATTTGAGAAGTTCTCACTTAGAGGCAAAAAAGAAAACTAAAACCACAAAGTACTAAATGTGGTTTTGAACTAAGAAAAACTTGAATAGAGAATCTGATTGTCTCCCTTGCCTGGCCTTGTGCTGGTATTCCACGTACTCATGCATTGATATTCTGCACCCAAACCAGTATATCAGGGAGGCCAAAGAAAGTAGCAGTGTACTGTTTTAGAAACTTATTTACAAAAGATTTAGAAGGATGTTCCTTACTTGCATTTGTCTCTCTTTTTGTTTGTTTTTCAATTTATTGCTCTATGACTATGAGGGAGCTATATATATTGGCTTTTAACAACAAAACTGGGTTTGCAAATTCATTGTTATAAGAAAAATGATAGTAAGTTTTGGAGGAAATAAGGAATTTGCTAGTTTCAATCTTTAGATTTCAGTTCCTACTTAACTGTTAGAGTGTAACAGTTATAATTTTCACTCCTTCCTTCCCCATTGTTTCCTTTATTAGCTGTTTGATTATTTTTTTGAGCACTATCGAGAAATAACCTGTGCTCTGGGTTTTAATCGTTTTGCCAGGTGGTTTCTCTGGTCCATAGCATTTTTTGCTAATATCTCTTATAAGGAGTGCTTCTTCATTCTAGACTTCTGAGTTTGTTTTTGCTTTTCTTTCAACATGTTGAACCAGTTACAGCTAATATTTTTCTCAGCTCCAACACAATTTGATTTTTGTTGAATTCAATTTTAGTATTTAAGAAAATACTTTGACATTTTAAACAAACCCAGTCTGCATGGCTAATGCAAAACAAAATGTTTGTAGTTTTCCACACAGCTTGTTTAACAACACCATCATATGTAATGAATGATGTTTACTTGAAAAGTTTGAAATTCTTCCTTGTCTAGATGAAGAACTGGTACACAAAGTAAGATCAGGTTAGAAATCTGTCTGCTCATTCAGACCAGCAGGAATTAGATGGTAGATCAGAGCCAGGAAAGGCAAATGACACATATCTAATCACAAGTAGAGTATTCTGAGGGGTTAGGTCTTATAGTTAATTACATTTATTCTATTTGAATCATTAGACAATCTGTTTTAGTGATCAGGCTTTTTAAAATTGGTATTTGATGACATACTAAATTCTTGATTTTGAATAGCACCTACTGATTTAAAGCATATATTATATGGCTTGTAGACACAGGAGAAACTCTTAGTGTCTTGCTTAAAAGATTTAACTTTTTCCCATTAAGAACTCTAAATGCCTCATGTTCTTTTCAGATAACTTAAGTCTTCTTTTAAACTTCAGTATTTATCTGATGCAATAAATTTCCCTTTTTCCTCAGAGACACAGATAAGACTCTAAATCATAAGGCATCATGATTTTATTATAATTGGATTAATTCATCTTGAAAAACTGAAATGAAGTTGCCTTTTATTTATTAACTTTTATTTTATTTATTTATTTATTTATTTTTGAGATGGGCTTTCCCTGTGTTGCCCAGAATGGTCTCAAATCTCTGGGGTCAATTGAGCCTCCCACCTCAGCCTCCCAAGAATGTGGGACTAGAGGTATGCCCTGCTGCACCCGGCTCTAGTTGTAAACTTTCAAAATAAAGAAATAATCCCACCAAAATTATCTTGTGGACTATTGCCATTCAGTAGTGTATTTTTCCCCCTAAATTTTTTGGGATAATTGTTAAAACATAGTTATGTAATTAAAAAAACTTCTCTGTCACAATTTAATTGATTTGTAGACCTTTTCTAGGTTTTGTGTTACTTACCTCAGCGTGTATTTAATTGTTTTAATTCTTTAAGGATAATGACATAGCAATTGTGTTTCTTTTATTACCAGTTAAGCAGTATTTGGGACTCAAAACTTCCCAGAAGCTTATCTTGACTTAATTGAGTCATCTGTGCTTGTTTCCCTTGTTTCTCGTTTTGCTCTGTCAGTGGATGGTGAAGGCTTTGTATATCTAAGCCCCTTAAAAGATCACAAAGAGTCCCGCACGTGTTCTGTCCATTTTTTAGTATACACTGCCTTTATTGCAAGACAGTGTTTTGCCTTCCCTGGAATGAGAAAGAATTGCTTTGGTTTGCTTTTCTATGTTGTAAAAGCAGATGCATTATCAGAAGTATACATTTTAGTTCCTTTAATTCTGGAAACGTGAGTGTTCAGGGTTCTGTGGCACAATGATGTTAGGACTGCACTGGGTATAATTCTGCTTTTCAGATATATAATCAGATGGTCCCTTCATGGGCAGACGTGGATTGCTTGCTTGCTTGCTGTATACAGGGCAATGGGTGGGAGCTCTGACTTGCAAAGCGGGAACAGACAGTGAAGTTCTGACTTGTTGCTTTCTCTAATTACTCTGTGTAGCTTCTGCTTTCTGCTGAAATAAGAGTTTACCTCAACAATCTATATTTGAGAAAATAATATAAAAAAGTTCCCCCTCCCTCTTTTTTTGCTCTTTAATCAGTTTTACAATTAGAACTGATCCATTTGTTTCAACAATATAAACCTATTAAAGATCTGATGATTGTAATCTCACTTTTATCATTTTCTATACTATAATTACATGTGTAATTATGGTAAATGGGTACACGTTACATGTTTACTGTAATCATTTTGCTCCCACAATTCCTTTGATTTTAAAGGGAATTAATGTTGATCAAATATACCAGACAAATTGCTCTTCAGTGGCAGTTGTATCCTCTTAGTCACCCAAGTAGATAGCAGACAATAGTATCACAGCCTCTCCAGACACAATCTAGGCTCTGTCTGCTATCTCCCAAAATACTAAGACACTGTGGAATGGAATCACCCTGCAGGCCGGCTGTATAGCTAGGGCTTCATTTGAGCTCCTGAGATTGTGGTTTTTGTGATATGATTTTTGACTTGCAAATATTTCAAAAAATTGGCTGAAGTCTCGATTCAGAAAGTAGGCAAGCACTGATGAATCTAAAATGAACAGCCATACAGCTATATCAAGGAAAAATGTGTATATACAGGCCAAATTGACAATATATTTATCATTCTTTCACTTTACTCTGTGCAGCCCAACTATTGGACAAGAAATGATAGATACTCTTTAGAGAGCATGAGTTCATTTGGCTTCCTTTCTTGGAAGTAAGTTTCTGTGTATACTGAGGAGTCTGAGATGAGAATCACAAAACATTAAAACAGTAACTGTGTCATTGACACCGCTTGAGGTAACATAAAGGACTAGGCAGGTATTTCATGTATGGGTGTCTTTGACTCCTTCAGTATTGTCTAATAAGTTCTTGAGTCTTTTTTTGCATCATAGTTAATTTCTACTTTTCCTTTTATCTTATTAATAATAAATCACCTTAGAGGATCTCCTATATGTTAGGAATCAGTTAAGGGTATATGCTGGCTTTTTCCAAGAAAAGGTTATTTAACTTGTATGAGGAAAAAAATCATACTATTCTAACTTTTTTTGTGTCTTCATTTTGTTCTTTAACTGTTCTGTGTATTTTATACATACCACTTAATTTGTGATGCACATAATATTTATGTGAATCTAAGCATCTGTCACACAGAAAAAAGCAGGAACTATGGTTGGGAGAACATGTTAAAGGGATAAAAATGTTTTGCTCTCATTTCCACTAATAGTATTTGCATAAAGAGCTAAAAACTCTGTTGTAATTATTGTTAAGTTTACTTATTTATGCTTTTAAACTAGGTTTTTCATAGTTATTTATTTAATAATCTTGGACATTTACTTTTAATGTTGTTTCTGAATGTGGAAACTGTATTTAAAAAATCAAATCTGTGTAATAATAGATATGTTTATACATGTTCATGTGATTGACAATAATTTGAATTTTTATTAGGTTTTGGGCTCTGAACTCTAGCTTTGGTATTTCTAAATTTTAGATGCCTTGTTAATAAAACAGGGAAAATGTTAAAGTAATATAGAATTCTTTTTGTTTACTTTTCTCATTTATTGAGAAAATAAAAATAAAACCTGGATATATTGTTTTATCACAAGTAGTGTGTAGCTTTTATATACTTGGCACAACAAATAGGGAATTAGTATAGCAAAGTCTCCCTCTTATCAAAGGGCTTTCATTTGATATGTTCAAAACTATAAAATGCACTTTTACTTCACATTCTCTGAAATGAGTAAATATTGCCCTGGAGAAACCTGAGTCTTTGCATGTGTTATTCCCAGAGTCTACCTCAGGTCACTATGCTTGTTAGTTTTAGATATGAATCCAGTTCAGTTCTTCATCTATGCAGATTTGTTTCTTTAAGTACTCTCTTCCCTTGTCCTCTTGCCCTCTTATTATTAACTTTTTCATTTAAACACAAAATTTTCTTAAAAGCTGTCTTGTCTGTCTTCCTCTTGCAAAGCCATGTGTTCCCAAGTAGGCCTCTGTGGATTGTCTGCTCTTCCCCCTGTTGTCATGGCCACTTCATTATTTGGATGTATGTCATTCTTAGGAGAAGGTTCAAACACAGTGTACATCCTAGTTTCTCATAGCTTTGTAAACAGGGACATTAAAAATTTTGGAACTAATGTTCATGTGTCTAGTCTCTAAGAACCTAAATACTCTTTTTGAAAAACTCACAAAAGTGGACAATGTACATTCGTCAGGAGAAACTGCAGTGGGCGCTGTCTGGGTGCTCGCTGTGTGTTATGGTGGTTTGTAAGTGTCTTGTCAAGATTTTTGTTCCAGTGTTTGTCTCCCAGTATTTGACTAGTTTAAAGAAAAAGCGTTTTCTAAATTGCATTTATTAAACGTGTTTTTCTTCTCATTTTGTGCTGCTACTTTGCTAGTCTTGAGCTTAGTTGGGTTTGTGTGTAGGTTGTAATCCAGTAATAAATTTCTAGAGTGTTGGTTGTTTGTGTTTTGTTTTTTATGTTCAGTCACTGGGATGCTTCTTGCCACCAGTGGGAACAACAAACCCCGCTCACTAGTAAGATAGGACTTTTCCCAGATTTTTGTTCCTCATAAAATAACATATTGGTAACTTGACATTTTGTACTTGCAGTGCATTATACTAATAATTTCAAGGTTGGTACAGGTAAGAATTGTGGTTTTTCAGTTGATTCTGTTTTAATAAATACACTTGTCTTATTTGTGTAGCACCATTGCAAAAAGCATGTTCCATATGGTGGATTTTCCAGATGACTGAATCTTATTTTATGACTTCTGTCACTGTTGTTATTGTTAAAGTCCATAGTTTACTGTAGAGTTCCCTGTATCATACAGTGTTATGGATTTTGACAAAAAACAAAATGTCATTTATCCACCATTGTAGTATCATACAGGCTAGTTTTTTTTCCTTCTCTTCATTTTTCTTCCCTTCCCAAACCCTGGCAACCACTGATCTTTTTATTTCTCTAGTTTTCCCTTTTCCAGAGTGTCATGTAGCTGGAATCATACAGTATGCAGTCTTTTCAGGCTACTTGCTGTGAGTTACGCATAAAGCAAATATGCATTTAAGATTCCTCTATATCTCTTTATAGCTTGATAGCTCATTTCTTTTTAACACTGAATAATATTCCATTGTATAGATGTGCCACAGTTTGTTTATCCATTCACCTACGTTTATAGTTCCAGCAACTCTGAATAAAGTTGGTTTAAACATTCTTGTGCAGATTTTTTGTGTGTGCATAAGTTTTCAACTCCTCCGAGTAAATATCTCCAAGTGTGATTCCTGGAACATATGGTAAGAGTATTTTTACTTTTATAAAAACTACCTATCTTCCAAAGTGGCTGTACCATTTTGCATTCTCAGCAACAATGAATGAGAGTTCCTGTTACTCCACATCCTCACCAGCATTTGATGTCATTGATGTTTTGGATTTTGCCATTTTAATAGGTATGCAATAGTATCTCATTGTTGTTTAGATTTGCGCTTGCCTAATGATAGATGATGTTGATTATCTCTTAAGGCTTGTCAGTGTTTTAATTAGTTGTGATTGATACCTTGCTAAAATAGATGCAGCCTGAGTCATAAACTAAAGCATATGATTTTACCTTTTCCTTTGTTATCAGAGCATCAATCACGTGTTCTGTGCTGCTCTCAATAACAATAGAGGGACTTTTTTTTTTTTTGCCTCTCACTGGGTTTCAGTGTTTGCTTTTATAACATTTCTACTGGTCCACATCAGGGTGACAGCCTGTCTTCCTCTCCAGCTTCTTTCCAATTGGAAGGAGACTGTGAAACAGTTGCCAGGCTGGGTAGAATCCTGGTAAATTAGTCAGCAGGTGGTGGGTGAGGGGTGGCGAGCAGTTCTGTTCTTTGAGTGTTTGTGCTTTGTGTTATTTCTCTGGGCTATTTGTGACCTTTTTATCTTTGGTCCTCAGAAGTGTTCCAGATAGATCAAGTGTGAAGTCGGAAAAGCATAATCACATGACTCTACAGTTAGGTAGTATTTGCAGCTAGACACAGTTCCATGCCCCTCACTTCTCCTTTTTTCCTCCCATGACCATGGATGAAATTTAGATCTCTTGAAGGGTACAAAGGAAAAGAATTAGGTAAGTGGAACAAAAATAGGAGACACTTGTGAGGGGAGCCTCCCCACTCTCCCTTCATTCCTTTCTGTTTTCCCCATTGCTCCCTGGGAATGGGACATGGTTACTGGCCAACATGGCAGAGCATGGGGGTTGGGGAGTTGCCCTGAGAAGCCAGGAATTCAGCTGAAACCTTGAGCAAAAATATGAGCATTGCCTAGCACCTTCCCTTCTCAGCATCAGCTACTTCCTTTCTAATGGACCAGAGAATGGTAGGTGGGCCCGCGACATCCCTGGCTGGCTCCATCATCTCACACTCATCCTGAAGGCTGGTGCCAAGGTGCTACCTTCTCTCCCCTGACTAGATATTTCCACAACCAGCTGCACCTGGCCCTGGCCCACTTGGGATTCCTCTGGCTCTTTCGTCATGCCATTCCTCCTCCTGCACTCTGAACAGGCAGGAAAGGGAATCAAAGGGATGGCACATGTGGCAAGGTTACTCCTCTCCTCTTTATGATCAGGAGGGCTTTATGGCCAACTCTTCCTTAACTTTTCCTATTATTTTCTTACAATCTGCCATGTAAGTTTTGAGAGGTTCACCAGCATCTTGTAGTGCTTAGAGCTGAATCCAGGAACATACGATATAGTCCAGTCCCCTCATTTTTTAGGTAAAGAGCTACACCATGGAGATTTTAAAATATGTGCTCCAGTTCACATTCTGACTCATGCAAACAGGACTTATATCTATTTCTGATCTTGAAGAATACTTCTGACAAGGCTTAAAGAAAGGAAGTCAGGATGGCAAAATATTAAATTACTTTAAGACTGTACAGCATGGCACAGGTTGAACATCTCTTATTCATAATGCTTGGAGCCAGAAACATTTAGGATTGTGGATTTTTTTAAAAATTTGAAATGTTTTTGAATACATGATGAGATATCTTGGGGGTGGAACCTAGGAATAAACATGAAGTTCACTTGTTTGATGTCTTATACACATAGCCTGAAGGTAATTTTAGTATAATACCTTCAGTGCACTTGATTTTGACTGACCTGTCACGTGAGGTCAGGTGTGGAGTTTCTCTCATGTCAGTGCTCAGATTTTGGAGCATTGTAGGCTTTATGTTTTCAGATTAGGGAATCTCAACCCGTACTGAGACTGTTCAGCCCAGTAGATGATAGTCAAGAACCACAAGATGCTGCATCAAAGGATCGGAACTAAGGTAACATCTGGTATTATGCTAAATACTTTGTTTCATTAAATTTATACTTTAACCCCAGGGATGTATTTACTATTATTATTTTTCTGCAGAAGAGGAAATCAAGGCTTGTAGAGTGACTTGCTCTCCTAAGAAGTGGAGGAAGTGTTGAGCCTAGCTTAGTTTGGTTTAGAGCCTTTTCCTTTGCCATGTTTCAAGATTACTCTCCACAAGTTAAACATGTACAAAAAGCTCTTAGTTCTTAAACATGTTGCATTCACTCAGTTTTCTGAGGTTCTTAACCACTCTTTTTCTTCCCTTTAATACTATTTTTAAACAGGAGTTTTGTAGATGGACTCCCATGATGTGTCCTTTTGATAGTTTTTATGTTAATCATGGGATTTGTGTAATGGGATTTAAATGAATTTGGGGGATATTGTGCCATTTGCTGTATCAGAGTGTAGATATATGCCTGTTGTTTCTCAGGGCAAAGCATACCTTTACCTCATTGTTCTGAGAGTTTCCATGAATTCTATTTAGGCTACCAAGTTAAGAGACATAAAGCTATAACTGTTACTTTTGTTGCTCTGAAGGATGACACTGCTCCACTAACTGGATGACAGCTCCTGGGTCCCTTGCTGGATATACGGTTGTCATCACTTGCAAGGCACTACCAAAGCTCTCCTGGAAAGCCGAGTTTAGTTCTGAATGCCCGAAATGTCTTCCAATTAGCACATCTTAAATAATTGTTTAAACAAATAACTAATAAGAATGTGACTGCTGTATTCCATAACATAAATCTTTAACTATAGCGTTAATACTTATTATGCCATTAGGGATGGATGACTTACACTTCATTTGGGGTTTATAAAATACCTCGAGCTATTTTTCTAGCATTTTGAAATATATTTTGTAACATTTCTCAAACATACTTTACCAAACACATTTCCTCTAATTTTTAAACCCTTGCGTATTTTAAGGGAAATTTAATCCATATGTTTCAGATTCGTTTGCACTTAACTCATCAAAGTTGTTTTTTAAGAACAGTTTGGTTTCCAAGAAGTTTTAGGAACCCTTCTCATGAATTCTGTCAGCCTTTAAAAGCATTTTCCCCAATCAAAACATTTTTTCCCTCAAGATAAATTGGATAAAATATTTTAGTTCGGTTTATAACACAGTGACCATGTTTTAAAGTCTAGGCCCTGAATTCAGGAAAATAAATTATTTTGTTTTTTGCTGTGAGAACTTGCTTCATTTGTTACTCTTCAAAGCTAGTATCAGCAAAAGACTTATAACCTCCATGTTCTCTTGAAAACACAGCATGTTGACACTGTCTTCCCAAATCCATAGCAGAAGTGAATCCGTCTAACAGCAAACTGAACCAACTAGTCATTGGGGGTCTGTCATGTGACATTAGAATATACTCCTTTAAATTTGTGCAGGCTAACTTTTTGCTTTTTGTATAGGCTATGAGTATCTTTTACCTGAAATGCTTAGGACTAAGATTTGGGAGTTTTTTGGGGGGTTTTGGAATATTTGCATAGACTTTACCAGTTGAGAGTGCCCCCACTTTGAAAATTCCAAATGCTTTAAAATCTGAGACTTTGAGCATTTGATTGGTGCTCAAAAGGTTTTGGATTTTGGTTTTATGAGGGATGTTTAACCTGTTCTTGAAATTTTAACAAGGCACCTCTGTATTCTGGATTGAATAAACATGTATTATGACGATCTCATCTCTTTTTAGAATATTTTTTTCACCTAAGATTTCGTTCAACAGGTTTCTGTTGCCTAGCAGTAGGTTTTGAAAACTGCTTTTTTGTATAGCTTAATTGAACAGGTTAATGGTATGAAATTGTCTTAGAAAAAGTAAGGTCACTGCAGGGAAGGTAAAAGGAAACATGCTGACAACTAATTGGACAGAATGTCATAAAACATGAGGACTCTGGAAAAGATTTGCAGAAACATAGCAACAAAAGAAAGGCATATGCCTAAGGCACCTAGAAACTGCATTCAGAAATATACCAAGAGAAAGGCACCATTTTCTTTTCTTCAGTTCTTCGTGGGCAATTGCAAAGTTGCTAATCAAGAGAAATAACCATTAGTCTGTCTTTTAATGGAAATTAATTCATTTTTCATTTTTCTGTACTTTTCAAAGTGAACCAATTTCTTACATATGTTTCATTAGTTCATGATGTAAATGACCATTAAAGGAGAAGCTTTACTGATAGGTAAATCTCTCTTAAGGATTGACACTTAACATCTTCTTGTTCAAACCAAAATGCAGAACATCTTGCATTAGGAGAGACTTCTACTTTGCATTTTTCTATAGGATTATTGTTTACCTGGCTAAAGAAATGCAAAATTACTAAAGTTTTAAAATGCAGTACTTGCAGAAATCAATCCAGTGCCTGCCTTTATTCCTCTCTCCCAAGAGCTCTTGGCCTAAGAATCAGACATGGCTTTTGATACCCTTTCATTTGGCCTTGGGGCAGGATTATGCCAGTCCCTGTCACTAACATGGGACAGTGTTCACCAAGCTTTGACAATGCTGCTCCAGGAATAAAAAGTTTGTGAGCTGTATGCTATTACTAACTATGTTGATAGTTTTTTTTTTTTAATTTTAATATTTATTTTTTAGTTTTCGGCGGACACAATTTCTTTGTTTGTATGTGGTGCTGAGGATCGAACCCGGGCCGCACGCATGCCAGGCAAGCACGCTACCGCTTGAGCCACATCCCCAGCCCCTATGTTGATAGTTTACAGAATATTTGGAATTGACAGTACTTCCATGTAATTTATAGAAACATGAGATATAGAAATTTTGAAGGTTAGAAAACATTGGAAAGTAATTTTATTGTTATACAATCCTTTCTAAAATTATGAATAATATTTGTATTGAGGGTCATTGGATTAAATACCCTTCATTATTATTT